GGGGCCCGGGGGCGGGGCCAGCAGGGCAACCCGCTGCGGTAGCGCGGGCAGCCCCTCTCTGTGCCCCAGAACGGCCGGGGAGGGGGCGCAGCTCTGATACGCGGCGTGACGCCCTGTCCAGCCCGTCCCTGCTCCAGCTGCCCCGAGCCTTCCTGCCCAAAGGGCACCCAGCAATCGAGCCCAACAGAGCGCAGGGCTGCTCTGCCGACCAGGGGCCTCCAGCCCTATGTTGTTAGCAAGGAGCAGTTCACGTTCAATGGCTAGACAGTCTTTCCGATTCTTTTGTAATGAATCCATAACTCCTCCCAACAAGCAAAGAGTAACTGCAAACTTGCCTTTCCCCCCCACTCCCGAAATCATAACACTTGATTCAGAAGCCTTAACTTCTCACCACGAGATAACACAGACAGAGATTTTCAGCACCTCAGCTGTTGAGCTAAACCACCTTCAAGGAGGGACAGAAGTGGGGAAGAAAGGTCCTTCCCCTCTCCCCCAACCCAGTTGCTTGTCCTACTTGCGGTCTCCAAGACCTCAGACAAAAATCTTAGGCTGCAGCAGACACTGCCACAATTAAACACCCAGGAATTTAAAGCCTCTTTCTATATCCCAACAGTATATGACCTTATTTTCCCTCTCCTTTTCAAGTCATGCCCGAAGCATCATCTTTCTAACGCTTTAACAAAGGAAGTTAATTAGCAATTACTTTTTTTTTTAAAGACCCTAAAACCTGTGTATGAACGGAGTTTGACAGGTCCTTGCGGTCCCCACTGCAGGTGTTTCTGAGCAGCGAGCTGCTTTGTAGTGCTAAGCAAATAGTTAAACAAAAAACCCCACACACCCCAAGTGTGTTTCTGATACTCTGTGACTCTTTTACTAGTTCTGCAGGCTGCACTAACAGGGAGACTAGGACAGTCCATAATCAAAACAGCAGGAAGAGTCAGGTATTGCATTTTGCAGATGGGGAAATAAAACAGATCAGAAGTCTTGTAGTGGCCTCAGAAAAACAGCCCAGGAACAGCGAGTGCATCAGGACACTTGTGGCTACTTGCTCCCTTAGCACGGAGAAGAAAGGACGAGCGCAGGAGCTGAGGGGACTGCCAGGAGCCCCTCTCTTTCTCGTCACAGTGACATTATTACAGGCAGCAGCAGTTAGCTTGCATGCCCAATATAAGGTCCCGCTGTCTGTTCATTTGGGCTGTTTCCTGGGATTAGGTGCCAGAGGATACTTGGAAGCACTTTAACTCCCACGGGCTTTGGCACCTCTTGTGCTGTGGTGACAACACCTCAAAGATTTGCCTTTTAGCTCTTGTTACGACAGGAACATCATAAGCCTTCTAAAGAACCACACCATTTCATGAGATTTTGACACCAATTTATCAATTATTTTCTGGCCTATCAATTTATCACTGTTAAGAGCAGCTTAACCCTATAGACTGGCTCCATGGACTATACCAAGCTTCTCAACAGAGGGTGGTATAAAGATATAATCTTTCTTGCTTGAAAAAATCCATTTCCTTTTATCCACTACCAGTAGAAGCAGTCAAATTTCTCTAATTTCAATATAAGAGTAACAAACAAGCTCAGAAATGAAAATCAGGCACTTGCTGAAGCATGAAGTTGTCCAGGAAGGTCCGGGCACAAAGCAGGACGCTCTGGGCCCAGGTGTCCTGGCTCCACATGGAGCTTTGGGTTTGAGCGGCCCGTGTTTTCCCTCCCATGCAGAGGCTGCTGGAGAGCCCCGGGACGGGCTCGTCACGGACGGGTGGGGATGGGCTCTGCAGGGGCAGCCTGCGTCCCCGAGCTGCTCCGCAGACGCACCGTGCACCGTCCAGCGGGTCCTTCCCGCACGGATTTGGTGCCCAGCCCTTACCCTAAAGGCTGGCAGGAACCATCAAGCGCTTGGGGCCTTTACGCCAAGGTGCGGCGGCAGGAACGTGCCCTTGGGTGGCAGCGGGCTGATGGGGCCCTCGCGCACCCTGCGCCTCCCAAACTCGCTGCTCTGGGCAAGCTGCACAAATGCGCCTTACCCCATAAACCCCTCGGCCAAGATTTGCTGCTTTCGTAACGCCTATCTATAGTGCCAGCTGTAATTACAAAGTTGGAGCTCAGCTAAACGCAGCCTTCGCTAGCTACACTGCTGCGCCTCGTTATCAACTTCTTTCATGCTTTTGCAGCAGTATTTAAGGTTTAAAAACTTCAACTGAGAGGACAAGTAGCGCAAGCAGCTGGCTTGTCTTGGGCAGCGTAACCTTAACTATTATGCAAGAAATGTCTGATACAAGTGTTAGGACTGAACGATGCAATGGAGCAGCACACGCTTCATTACACTTAGGTGTGTTCCTTGTCCTGGACGCTTCAGACTAAAGCGGGACACCCATATGGGAAGCGTGGCCTCCGAGCCCGCTTCCAGGCCAAGGAAACTGCTTTTCACTCAGAGTCCTGGCTCAGCCGCACGCTGCAGCTTCCCCAGGCCTTCCACTACACTAGTACTTGGGGCTGCAGTTAGGAGTACTGAGAACCCCTTTGCTGTCCCGTTTTGATCTGTGACTAAGCCTGACACAGCAGCAAAAACAGCCCGTCCTCCTCAGGAGCTCATGGATAAACACGACGGGAGCAGCCAGCCCTGGACCTTGCATCACCTCTGCCAGGGCAGCGATTCCCAGCCCAGCTCCTGCCCCATGGGCACGGGGTGGCCGTGCAGCACCCAGCTCCCGGGGCTGCTCCGGCGCTTGTCCCGCTCGCTGCCACCAACGCGCCTGCGCGTGCTGGGGACGTGGCCCCCTTGGGGTTGATGCTACCCCCTCTGTGCATGCCCAGTGCCCAGTCTAACACCGGCAGTCAAATTTAAACTGTTCAACCTGGAGCTGCCCGAAATCACGCAGAGCTGGGCTCTCCTAACGAGCCAGCAATGGAAGGTCCAATACCTTGAACTCCTGCTGCTCCCAAGGCAAACGGCTAATCCTACCCGTGTGCCGCTCTCGGATAGGGCTAATGGAGCGAGTGCTCAACATGGAAATACAAATAAGCTTGTAAGAAAACTAATTTTATATTCAAAGATGGGTTTTGACATGAACTGAGGCATAGACCCATGAACTGAAAGATAAAACTCCTGGGTGGACATTTGTTAATCACAGCCCCATATTCTCTACATTAACATGGAAAGGATGTGACCATATTTATCAATAAAAAAGTCAGAGTTAAAATTTCTGGAGTCTTAACAGTTCCTAACTTTTCAGTGCTCTGTTGAAAATTGTGTTGGACACCTAATTTTTATTTTTATATTCTATTTTTACTCAGCTTCCAAGGAAATCAACTTTAAATGTCACTTATTACTTTTTAAATTTACTTCTTAAATTTATTCTATTAAAAAAACCTTAAGCCACAGTATAGCATTCTCCCCTCTATTAATAAATCCCTACTACTCCAAATAGTCTTATAGCTAAAACCCCTGCACGGGACACCCGGAGATGGGAGCTTGGTTCCTAGCTCACTTACAGATTCACTAGGCTAAACTGACTCTCCTGCATCTTAATCCTTCTCCTCTCTGAGCTGTGGGTACCGTTCTCTTCCCCACACCATGCTGCTTTTCCCACTTCAGGTGCTTACAATGCCTAAGAGCAGGGATCTCATGTCAGTCAAAGCCTGCACTCCTCCTCAGGCTCGTGTTTGATATCCACCATGAAGCGCTATGGCAGGTTTGCAGATTTCCAAACGTTGTGCAAAAAGGTTTAAGCCCTTATCAGAGTACATATACACATGCGCCCTTGGGAGGCAGCTCTTTGAGGAAGGGATCCCAACCCAGAGCGGGCCCAGCCCTCGATTCCCAAGACTAACCCCGCAGGCCGGAATGCCGGAGCCCTTGCGCGGGGCTGCGCGGCGCAGGCCGCACGGCGCGAGGGGCAGGCCGGCTGGCTG